CCTTGATGGTTTTGGGATAGGACCTCATTGTGGTCGAGGTATTGCTTGGATGTTGGATCAACAAATGTGGAACCAGGATCAGTTGTGTATGGGTTTATGAATAAGTGGACATACATGCCAATGTGCCATCTTTAATCAACAGAGTTGTGCGCTTTTTATATAATATGAACTGTTTATAAGAATCATATCATGTTTGAGTGTTGAAGTATGATAGCCTACTGTTTTTGTGGCCACAATATGGCTTGATCACATTCCGTCACTTGGACTCTGTTTGTTTTGATGGAAAACATTTTTTGTGGGAAGTCATAATCATTTTCTAAATTAGATAATTTTCCATGGAAAGCATGATTGTGAAAATGATTTTCCCTTGCTTCTTTGACTATTGAAAACTCATGGATAAAATGAATGGAAGTAAAAGGGTGGGGAAGGATAGAGGAGTAAAAAGGAAAACGTGGTATACCTTCTTTAAGGAAGGAAAATGGTTTTCCTTCTCTAAAGGAAAATGGAGAGTTGAGGGAAAATCATTCCAAGAAAATGTTTTCTACCAAAACAAATAGAGCCTTGGTCTAGCTTGCTCTGAACCACTATTTTTTGTTACTTGACTACCTATGAGGGGGAATCCATGTAACAAACATTGCCTTTAGCCCTTTAGAAACTGATCCATATTGAGTAAGCCCTTGAATTCCTGTAACAAACACTGCCGTTAGCCCTGTAGAAACTGATTGGTATTATATAAGTCCTTTTAGTTTTGATAGCGTGTTAAGATTGTGCCATTTACTTGATGTACAGCAAATGTATCGATGTTATTGGCTGTTACACGCTCTTCAACTCCTTATTTTCGGAAAATATCAGCTGGAAAGCTTTGGCCATTGCAATTAATACATGAACCTTTGACCCTGATCTCATCTGATCCTATCTATATCATTATTGGCAGTAGATCACTGGACACTAAATGCATGTCTTGCCTCTATTTTGTAGTTTATATACCCAATTGGTAGTGCAGCCTTTTTAGATTTCACTCAACATGCCGATTTCTTCTTCTGAAAGGGTGAAAGATGTGCAGGAATGGGGGATTGTGAAATCAAGTCCAGTAGTGGTCTCTTCCTCTAATGTCTGCGAGGGTAAAATGCTTGACCAAGGTGTCCTTGATCTATATTCTGTTCACAACTCTAGAGATTCATTAAAAGAGACATTGAAGCAGACAATGCTTGATCAAGAGTTTGCTTTTAGGAGGCAGGTATTAATTTTCATTCAATTCACACAAAAATGGTTGATTATGATGCTTTCCTTAGTTATATATACTCAACTTCTGACAGCCAGCGATTTTTTTTATAAATTCATATGTCCATAACTATATCAAGCAAAAATTTCATTTGATTTTCAATATTTTTTTTGGCAATTCTAGGTTATTTGTCGCAGACTCTGGATGTCCTTTATATCCTGTGCTTTTGTCTTTGATTTTCAATTATTTTGGCAATTCAAGGTTATTTGTCGCAGAATTTGGATGTCCTTTAGATCCTGAAATTTTGTGCAAATATGAGAATTCACTCAACTTTTAAATTATTTTACATGATTTTGTCTTCAGGTCACTGAACTTCATGAACTTTACAGAGTACAAATAGCTAGGATGGAAGAATTGAAACAGAAGGGTGTATATAATTACAGTATGCACAAAGGAGGTTTTAACAATAATTTGAGTTGTTCAATGGTGAGTTTGAAGCTATTTTATACGAAGTATACAATATCCCTTCACGTAAATGGCAGTGCCACTTTTATCTTTTCTGCTTTTGCTACTTTGTTTCTGTTGTGGAGGTAGTGTGGATTGGGATGGGAGGTTCCTTATGGGTTATTGTAATGTGATGTCATCTTGCTGCAGTAATTTTGTGAATACTTGAACTTGTAACAATTTCATACTGGAATTTCCCTTGTTTCTTGCAAGTATATGACAATGAAACTAATGTTTTTTCAGGCTGAATACATGCAATTTTCAAACTTCAATATGTATTATGAGTTACAGCAAAAGCCTCCTGTGACTAAGCAGAAACATCTTGATCTCCAGCTTTCAGCCGATGAATTTATTGGCCAATGTGTTGATGATTCCTCTGGAATAGGGGTAGTGACCAAGAATTCTTCCTGGGATAAAGTAGATTTTGATCCAGGTCATCTAAATCTGTCTTTGAGCATTGGACCTAATGCTAGCAAAAAGAGTGGAGAACTCAGATCTTGGAAGGGAAAAAAGCGCTGTTCATCTTTAATTGACATCATTGATCTCGAAGATGAAAATTTAAGCCTTTCAAATTCTGAAGCATGTATTAGGCTTACTTCTGGCTCTGCTGCTCCAAAATTTCTTTCCAGAGACTACCAAAACTCAGATAGCTTTTTGAACAGTAGCAAGTTGAAGCCAGAAAGCCTTTCACAAAGTGTCATCAAGAATGGCTCTTACAGAACCACACTGCATAGATCTTCTGTAGATGCTGGTTTAAGCTGTCAGACACAATCACTATGTGATTCAGGTATACCTTTGAGTTACAATATACTTGCTCTTAACGCTATTCCTACTTCTTAGTTTATTTTGCATCTGGGAACATTTTATTATCTTTTTGTGTGGAAATGGCTTAATGATCAGAGCTCACTGCTCATGTCATCATGTGTGCAGGAACAAATGGGCACCACCAAAAATCCTTGCTTGCTAATCTTTTGAACGAGAATAAAAGGGCACCTACTTGTAAAATAAATAATAGCTTGGACCTTAATACAGTTCAGCTTGAAGACCAGTCATATTTCTCAAATAATCCTTCAGTGGTGGTCAATTCATCAATAACTAACTCATCATCTGTGTTAGATAAGGTTTATCCCATGTCCAATGTAGCTTCTTTTGGCAGCCCCAATTTTTGGAAAGAAGCAAATGTGAACTCGTTTGTGGAATTGCATGGAAATCATCAACCAATAGATGTAAATAACAAAGGCAGTGATGGAGAAAGGTGCAGTAAGGATGGGAAGTGTAGAGAAGGTAATGAACCCAACATCAGCGTTGTATATCTTGATTCTGAGTCCTCTGAGGAGCTTTGCAGTAACAGATCTGACCCAAAAATATCGAGCGTGGGGTCATCATCAAAGATTTTAAATGCTCTTTCATGTGAGATGGACATGGTTGATGCAGTTGGAGCAGAAACAAACTTAGAGAAGGGTGCAGAATCCCTTGAAAAACTTAATTGCTGCAAGCTATCTAATTCTTCTGATTCAGAAGGCATGATAGATCATCATTCAAGCAGCATAAAGACCATGCAATCTGGTATTCGATGTGATGATGTTAACTTTGCTACGTCTGATGGAGAAAAACTTAACATTGGTCTGTTAGTCACTCAATCTGGAGAGCAAGACCTACGGTCTTCTGGTAGCTCTGAATCGAATGTTCAGTGCATTATTAGGAACGAACCAGAGGTTGATGGAACCATTCAAGCAGCAGCTGAACTACTTTTACAATTGTCTTTGAAAACAGGAACCTTATGTGAAGGTGAATCATTGAAAATGCCTTTGAAGAAGACCCAAAATGAAGAAAATGAACAGCCTCAGTGTTCTTCGGAATCTTACGAGGCAATGGTACTGAAGGCAGAAGAGATCAGCACTGCTGATTATTGTGTAACCTCAACCGCGTTTCTGGTGGATGAATCAGAGAACAAGGATGTCAGGTGTAAGCTAAAAAGGGGAACTCGTATGAAAGATTTTCAGAAAGATATACTCCCTGGCCTATCCACTTTATCAAGGCAAGAGATCCGAGAAGATATTAATCTTTTGGAAGGTGTTATAAGGTCACGAGAATACAAAAAGATGAGGGCAAAGATGGGTGACGATGGAGGAAGTGATTGGTGTAGGACAACAAGGAGCAAGAGGTCAAGAGTCCGAAGAAGGTATTATGCATGAAGTGAGAAACTGTAAGTTATCAGGGCTGATCTCTTTATGTGCAGGTTCTGATTATAGATACAGAGCTTATATTTAGGTCAAGTGGATGTCACAATAATTATCCCTTTTGAAGGCTTTAACTCATTTATATAAAGTGCTGTAGTGAAGTTTATGTGTGGGTTAGCTAAGTTTCATGTAGAGATATGTCAAATAGGATTTAGATGGAATGCTGGGTAAATTTTTACCATTGTTATACTGATTGACATGAAAATTTTAGTTCAGTATGCTGTTGAGAATGATGGTGCATCTTCCCCATTTTCAGTTTGCTGATGGGGGGTCCTTGAATCTCTCAGATAATATCGATAGACCTGCACGGCAGTGTTTCGAAGAACATTCTTGGACAATGGCGTGCATTGTGAAAGTAAACAATGATTGAATATTTCTAATCTTCTTTCAGATCAGTATAGTTAATCTAATATTTGAACTTTTCTTTGTGTTTAGTACTTTTATATGATATTCTATGGCTGAACATGGGTACAGATACTTGAAGCTTCATTTGAAACGCAATTGTGTGCATTTTTTCTAATTAATGGCGACACTTGGACAATACCCATCTTCAACACGAGTGATTTAAGTACATATATTGTTAGCTCTTAACTTTTAAAATTGGATAAAAATGCATTAAAAATCTTCTGTTTTCAATTAGTAAGATATTTTCATATTTAAGTGTGGGCAACAGGCAACAACCTTTGAGATTCTGCCTTACAACAGAGACCTCTGCTGAGTAGGAGCATCGGTTGACTACTTGAGCAAAGATAACGTTACGACGTGATAACTTGTTAATCCCATCTGGCTATATGTCTAATTTACTCATATGAACCTTGATGATTATCATATTAATAATTAAATGAACTATGTTTATGACTTTTACTCTATCAAATATAAACTATTGTAGTAATGATTCCCCATTAAGTTGGATAGTCAAACTGAAATTTTTATCAAAAAAAAAAAAAAAAAAAAAAAAAAGTAACAACCTTTTTGATCAACCAACAAAAACTGTTTGAAGAAATTTCTGCGATTTCTTCAAGTTCTTTCAAACAATGCAAGGTGCTTCAAATGCATGTGATTTGAGCACAGCAATCTGTAGCATTAGTGATTTACAAGTCAATGAGGCGGCTCAAACAGGATTAAGATATGCCCACCAATATATCAGCTCAATTTCTGATCAGAACAACCTGTTAAATAGTAGCATGATAAAACAGTCGAGCCTAATTGCCAATGAAGCGATCAAGGAGTTCAAGAAACTCCTCTATCTCTTAGAGGATTCAACATCAACAAAAACAAAACCTTCTAGGAGGGTTAAGCAGGGTCCTCTGCCTAAAAACATGGGGATAAACCCGAAAGATATGGTTGGTCTTTCGATTGAAAACTCTTACAAGTTGGCATCTTCAACTCGCGTTCCTAATAAAGAATTCAATGTGATCAATATCAATCGGTCATATTCCAATCCCGTGTTGTGCATGGAAGGATCAACCACAAGCAGCAGCAGGCAGATTGTCATGCAGAACTCAATGTCAGGGATTTTGAGTTTCAGTGAGGATGCTACCACTAAATGTGCTTCCTCCAGCAAGACTTGCCATTGCTCAAAAAAAAGGTACAGCATTTTGATTTTCCCCAATTATTTTGCCTGTTTATGTGTTATGAAGGATTTATCAGAAACAACCTCTCTGAAATTCTGAATCCTCCAGGAAGCGAAGGGAAAAGCGAAAAGTAAGAGTTCCAGCCATCAGTGACAAAATAGCTGATATACCACCGGATGAGTACTGCTGGAGAAAGTATGGGCAGAAACCCATCAAAGGCTCTCCTCATCCAAGGTAAAAACTAAAAAGTCTTGCATACTAGTCTACTGTTTTACACGTTTATTTTAGGATGAATGTTGTCTCATTGTTAAAACTAGTAGAGTTATATGATTGGTCTTTTGGGAATATACAAGTACGTTGTTATGTTAGTAATAACGTCATGTATTCATTATTTTCGGACAGAGGGAGCATATGACTTGGGGTAATATATGACGTTTGATCTTTGTGTTCTGTAGGACTTGGGGTAATATATGACGTTTGATCTTTGTGTTCTGTAGGAGTTACTACAAATGCAGCACTTGCAAGGGATGCCCTGCTAGGAAACAGGTAGAAAGATGCTTGCAAGATTCAAGCATGTTGATTGTGACTTATGAAGGGGAGCATGTTCACTCCAAATTCACATTTCCGTATTCCACCATTACATTTTGAATGAGTTTCAGGAACATCCTCATTAATAGATCCCGAATCCACACTTATGAATCAAAACATATGCAAGGTCCAACAGAATGGAAGGAGGAACTCATGTTTTCGCTCCCTAAATTGGCTTTCACACTTTTTTGTTTATCAGGGCAGAATACAATTTTTCAATACTTCTCTTGCAAACACACTTCATCGCTTCAGTGCATATGTGCTGGTGTTGTAAGCAGTCATTGATCCTTTTGTCAAATAATAATTTTTGTGAAATTAGTTCAACCTCTAAAATACCTTTATTACATTGTTTGTCAAAGTAGTATGTTGAGTTTACAGGTAGAGAAATTTGTTTATCAATGTAGTCGGCATGTTTAATGCACACATGCCCTTGGTATTACTATTTTAATCACTAGACTAATACCTCATTGGTAGTTAGCACCCTAAATTGAATGCTCAAATGGAATTTTGAACATTTTAATCTTGGTTAATATTGGCATGAATCCTAATTACAGAATCACAAACTAGCAAGTTGTAAAATTTTTGTAGAATGAATGACTTCAACTACCCTTGGATGACGGACCCATCTTTTGTCTTTACTCTTTAGTAACAAGTATCAACCTTTTTATATAAAACTTATAAGTTGCAGAAGAAAACCTGTAAGATGCGTCCGTCAGATCATTATTATATAGTAATTCAAAATGTGGTTGTAGTATAAAAAGAGATATAAGGATGTAGTATATGCAATCGCCAAGATTATGCCATATAACAGAAAAGAATCACCAATTCTTTTAAAAGAAAATAAATACAAAAACAATCATTTAAGTAGCATTTAAGGGTTATACCATAACCATTCTCTCTTCTTTAATAAATTTACTTGTATTTGCTTAATGTGTGATACTTAAAAAGGTGTACTATTTTCTTTTATGAGTTTGTAGCAACCTTTGGGCCGGCAGTTGTTAAAAGCCAGATGTGGGCCACTAATGAGTAGATGACATTTGAGCCTACCTTGTAAAGTTTTTAATGGGCCAACGTGACATGATCTGTTTAAATCAAGGGCATCACCGACCCATGAAAGTGCTAAAACACTGACAAAACGTTGATTGAGTGAACTACTCTTTAAATCTTTTGAACTTCAGTTTGATGTGAAATAACTCATACAAGTACTAATTCTATCAATAATTGCGTCACTGAACACTTTTGATTTTGCACCAGGAAAACTCACGAATACCCCAACATTCTCATAATAAATCAACATTGTGATTATGATTTTCAATTGAAATATATGTCACCACTAATGACTGCGAAGTAATATATTGGCTATGTCCGGTACAAAAGCATGAAATCGAAGAAGGTATACAATAAATACATATTCTTATATATTATATATTATATATTATATATTATATGTGATTGGTCACACACCGTGATCATCATGGGAGTTACTTTTTAAGTGTCATAGGGAACACTCGGTCAGTCGTTAATTCGTCGTTGTATAATAATTAATTACTCAGTGTTACAAGGATCACTCGATTAGTGTTATAGGGTTTGCCTTGATCTTTTACAAGAAGTCGCATAATGTGATCAACCCACACACAAAATGCGCTAAATGTTGTGCATCCCTATTTGCAAGAACATTCTTCCTGGTCAATTTGTCTCCAAAGATAGTCTAACTTGGGAGCAAATGTCAAAAATAAAAAAAAATTGGCATCTAATAATGCACATTGCAAGTAATTAAATATTTAAAAAAGTAGAGACAAAAAATTGTTTTGCTATGTTACCATAATTAAAAGGTCCAAATTATATGAATTTGCTTCGGGACCAATGGTAGTGGAGAAGCAATAGATGACTATGATTTGGTTGAAATTAGAAACAAAAGCATAATGTTAAATTCTTTTGCTTTTTAGCGTCTAGAGATTATAATAAATCAATAGACTACTTTGTCATGAAATACATCTTAAATTCAAAAGATCTAATTATCATCAGTTAGAATTTACTCAATCGTGTGTAGTATAGTGCTGATTTTAATAACAGGAAACATTTTATGATTAAAGACAAATAAGCTTACATATATGGTGACATTCACTTTAAAACAAATACAAAAGTACACCGGTTTAATTTAATGATACATAGGAAATTAATAGTGTTGAAGTGTAGTACAGAAAAAAAAAAGGTGGATAATTTAAGAAAAAAGAGTGTAAAATGATGGATGGGGGTAAAAAATGTGGATAATTATTAATCATGGAGTATTCATTATTAACACTTGGAACAACCAAGAAGAAGATGACTTCCCATCCATATCAAAGCCGATTATTCCTTCTTACAAGAATTATGGCATATTAGTCAAAACCTACTAATTGGTAATTAATACCAACAATGAATCTCTGAGTTAATTATTGAGTAGAAATGTAATATATCAAATTATATGGCAATTTGAAATGCTATAGCCGTAAGGATCGGACTATCGGAGTAAATTTTTTTTTAACGAAACAATCTCAACTTAAGAGATTTACAAATCTATTGTACGTTAATTGAATTTATTATATTGTACGTACCACTTTTACACCATGCTTATATATAATGTAGTTATAGTCTTGTAGTGATTAGTTCAAACAATTTCTATATTACAACCTACTTTGAAAAATATGAAGTAAAGCTCTTAAGTAAATTGAAAACCTCCTTGACCTTGAGTATATAAATCCATACTTTTCAACAAAATCTTTTGCGTGAGTCACCTTCAAACATTAGCCTTTTCTTTTAATAAACTATCCGTCACAATTACAGTTAAATAGATAACGAATTGTGCACATAATGTCAACATATATAAGTTTAGAATAACATCCTGGTTACCATACATTCATTCTTTGTTATAGGACCTCGATCATAGGCTCATAACATTGTGTTTTTGGTGATCATATATGTTATAAATAATTCAACTTAACTATATATGTTATTCATTCTCCTTCTATCTTTGTAGCAATGTGGGACAACTAATCCCGACTCACATTTCCTAACATCAGTACGTCGAAGGTAGTAGAAGATATGTGTTGTACACTTGTACTGTTCTTTTGGATAATGGACTAGTGGAGGTCATTTTCTTCAACTTGTTAAACCAGTTGTTATTGGCAAGGGTAGCATCATATGATCCTAGCTTTGAGATTGAGACGCAGTTTCAATCCCTAAAGATTTTGTATCAAAAAGAATTATACTCTTTAAGAATAAAGATCACTAAATTGTTTATTTTATTCTACTAAGATTCTAATCATTCTTTATTTCTAGATACAGTCATCAGTAGTGTTTGACAGTATGTATGTGAACTTGTGATCGACTAGTGAGAAGTGACCCTAGGAAAAATATTTGGATACGATGACTCCTTATATATTTAAGGTCTGGCAAGTAGTTTCTAGATGCCTTAAACTATATATAATGCTTGCTTATCATATTATTCTCTTCAATAATAATTAATCTTCTAGCTACCTACCATTGTCATTAACATATGTAGATACAAAAAAAAATGCATACAATTAATAAGAACCTATGCTATATAATTATTTTCCCATACAATTGAAGCTCGTTCTGTTGTTAAAAAAAAAAAAAAAAAAACTTTTCCCATACATATATATTTTGAATCCTTCGTTTAGTAAGTAACTCGTCTTTATTGTCATCACATTATTATTCTACTAAATTTATTGTCTATGTATTCTAACCCCATACGGGTCATAATTTTTTTTTTCTTCTTCTTTATTTCTAATTTAAATGTACATGAATGACATAAGATGATTATTTTCTATCGCTGTAATACATAATGAAAAAAGGTAAAAATAAAAGTGAAGAATAAAATGATAAAATAATCTAGACGATAAGATTGATAAATTATAAGCTTTTAAGCTTTTTTGGTCCCAAGTTGCATTGCAATGCCTATAGTGGGAAGTTGGTTTAAGAAAGGAAAAACTACGTATATGTAATTAGTGAGTGCTCGTGCCCCCTTTGTCAATAAATATATGAAGTATACTTAGAAAAGAAAGCCAAATTGGTACGTCATTTTCCTAGAACTAATACTGAGGAAAATCCCATTAATTTGTACACCAAAATCTAGCCAAATTTACATGCTATAGATTTGCCAACTTGGTTGTTGCCATCGCAAATCTTTCTGAATAAGTGTCATCTGCAAATGAACAGAACATTCCCCCCCCCCCCCCCCCCCCCCCTTTATTATGGAAAATGAAAGAGCTGTATAGTGGCCACATGGTAGAAAGCTACTTGGATATCGACTTTGAGGCTGTAAGTAGCATAGTATCTTTTACTCCTTTTAGTATTTGATTTTCGACTGTTACATGTGAATTTTAAGGTAAACCAATTTTATTACTTTTGTAGATGTCAACTAGTTTTTGAACGCGTGGTGATACTAAAGACCGACACCAGACTTCTAATGTCGTTACACGCACTAACCTTAGCTTATTGGGTATGCCTCCTTATACAGTTATACATCGATTAAAAGTGATTGTTAGATGCCTAGATTGTTCATGCAATTGTTTGGTTTCATGTGCTTTCTCATTGCATGTAGATGTGCAATGTGTTTATATATTTTGGGCAATATATATGTGGATACATATTGACAATGCATGTAGTTTAAATCATCCATAACGCTTCTTTTATTTTATTTTTAATCTTTGTTATATTCGACACGCAAGGACATAATATACATAATACTCTCAAAAGATCATATAGCTCAAAAATAAAAATGAATAAAATAAAAGCATATCCTCTGCACTTTAAGCATCATAATATACAACCGTTCAAATTTAAAAAAAAAAAGCATCATAATATATAAAAGAAAATTGCAGGTGCAAAATATAAACTTGCATTTGTAAGTTTCTTTATTTGTTTTTTTTTTTAAAAAAAAGAACATGTAGCCATGTTGGTGTGATAAATATGAAATAATAAGTGTAACTAAAACTAGAGTACGAAACGCATCATGATATTGAGTGTATGTGTATTATTTTATGGTGTAAAATGTAGTATAGCCTTTGTAGGCAATAAGCTAATCCCTTAATTAACTCTTAAATTTTGGGTTTTAAAAACATTTGCACACCGTCAAACATTTAAACTTAAATCACCAATTTATTTTTTAAATTGCTTGCACTTAGAATGTATATCATAATTAGATAAGGGGTTGGTCTTGACCTAATTCACCATTCATAAGAGGAATACATAGTGATGACATTGCATTAACCTTATTTTCAATATTTGGTGCTAACATGTGACTTGGGTCGTGCATTAGCATTAGACCTTTAGTAATGAAAAATTATTATGAGTATGGCAACACGCAATTTTTTCTTGACTCGCATTAAACAACGTATGTCTGAACATTAGGCACGTTGACATAATACATGGTCATAACCTGACTAGTTCGATTCACGCCAATTATGATTCTTATTTTTTTTTTAAAAAAAAAAAATTCAAAAACCCTATCCAAAATAAAGACTCTTGTATTTGACCGATAAAACAGAGAGAAATCCTTGGAATTTGCAAGTTTATGGTCACTCTCACAAACACAAACACAAAGTTTGGTTATTGTGGAGTGAGCGTGAGCCCCCCCGGCCCCCATTCTCTTCTTCTCTCCTTTCTTCTTCACCAAACTATCCTCACTCACTCACTCACACTCACTTTCTCTTTCTTCTATAAAACATTAAAACTGTCTTAACCCTCATTTACCCTTCTTCTCTCTTATTAAATTCTCTCTTCTTGTTTTCGAAATTAATCCCCTTTAAAACAAAAAGACCAGTTTCACTTTCACAACAATGTCGGTTTGTAATGGCGATGATCCTCGTGTTCATGATATCAAAACTAAAATTCGGGTTATACCCAATTTCCCTAAACCCGGTACTCCATTCTTGTTCTTTCTTTGATTTCCGTTCACCTACAAAAATGCTGCCTTTGTTTATTTGTATAATTTTGGTTGATTATTGAAATGTTTAGCCTAATTATTGAAGTTTATTTGTTATGAGTAGGTATTATGTTTCAAGACATCACAACTCTCTTGGTTGATGCCAAGGCTTTCAAGAACACAATCGATTTGTTCATTGAGCGTTACAAAAGCAAGAACATTTCTGTTGTTGCAGGTTTATTTATTTATTTTTATTTTTCATTTTTCTAATAATCTTGTACGTTAATTTTATCTTTCTTGGGTAATTTTGATGCAATTTTGAGTCCTCGTCCCCTGTTTGTAAGTTGTAGAGCACGAATTGATGTTTATATTTTATATTATTTGTGTTTACAAATTACGAATGGAGAAGGGTATCGTAAACAAACCCTCAATCTTTGAACCGGGAAACGACCTAGTTGAGTCAGTCGTAATTTTAAGTTGTAAAAGTTACAAAGTGGGGAAAAAGACAAGTTTGGTTAGTAATGGCCTAATGGGGGCTCCTCCTTTTCTTCAAAAGCATAAAAGGGTTATTGTGGAAACTAGTTTGGTAAAAGAAAATAAAAAAAAAAAGCTGTATACATTTTGTAAGTTGAAGAAAATGGTGGGCCTGAGAAAAAAAAAAGTAGGGAGTTCAATAATAAAATCGTTGAGTACTTGAGTTTATGGGGAGAAGGGGTTGGCTTCAAGTTTCATGGGGCTGTGCTAATGTGTTAGTGGGTGTGTATGTGTATGTGTTGTTATTCATTACTATCTGTGAATTTTATGATAGGCTTCCCTTGTTTTCTTATGGTTTATGGTTGGATCCTATTTTCGGGTGGACCCGTTTTTATTTAATTTGTTCTTTGATTCCCTTTGGCTCTTGGCTTAAAGTTGAGTGATCTACTTACTCCTATTTTGAATATCTTTCAGTGGCTTAGCTGCTTTTATTCTTCCCTACTCACTATGCTGTCTTTTATTGCATCAGCCTGCTCGTAATCGAGCTATTAAAGACTGTTAATCTTTGTTATTGTTGTAACAACTGATTTGCTAAGCTGGATGATGAATTGTGGTTGTCTGATGTGTAGTAGTAGTAGTACAAGACCAAAAATGAATGATTATCCAAATATCTTAATTATGATTAATAATAAGTTAGCAATTCGTTAAAACAAAAGAGAGGCATTTAAGATCCTAGAAATGTCATTTGTCCCTATTGTTCAAGGGATGGTGAGATTCACCATCATCATGTGTTGTCATATTAGATTTTCCGTCCTTTTCCTGGATTGTGGGGCTGAAGAGTTTTTTTTCAAATCCTTCACTTGGGATGTGCCCTGTTCATTTGCATGCTTGCAAATCTTTTGGTTGGATTTAGAGGTGGTATGGGCCAACGATTTGGTTATTGCTGTCGCATGTGCATAAACAGCAGTTTCTGTCTCTTTCTTTGCTTATCTTTAATTACACTCCTGCTCCTGTGATCAGGAGAAACCCTGTTGCCTGTTTCTATCTACAATCTTCTTGCTCATATCTGTAGTTTATGCTTTGACGATGTCACTGCAGAACTCAGTGGGTATCATCTTATCAAGTGATCATAAATTATCAGCTTTCTTGGTTAGATCTTGCTATTATCTGTTATCTACATTTTTATATGAGATGTCTCTTAGTCGAGCCAATTTAAGCTGCCACTGGCGGCAATTTTTACTGTGGTGTGGTCTGTGACTAGGATTCCTGACTAGGCATGAAGCATGCTCTAGCTGATGGTGTACTTGATTTGGTATTTAGTATAAGCAATAAAACCTTTGGTAATTTCTTTCTAAGCATGTACAAGGAAAATGATGCGCATAAAAGTTACTTGGAAGTATTAATGTTTAGATTTTTGTAGGAGATGAATGGTTTCAACCTTGGACCCTAAAATCTTTTAGTCATGGTTACATATACGGCTCTTGTGCGATATATTTAGTTTTTAAACTATGGTATCATAAATCATGCTATTCATTTTAGAGATATAGGGGAAGAGAGTTTAATGTTTACTATTTAGATTCCCAACCAATTTAGCTTCGGGACAGCTAGAATATCACTGGTAATATGTTTGTGGATGGTCACCTTAAGTATGTATGTTTTTAAGTAATGTCTTGATTCATGTTTGCACTTTTTACATCATATTTTATCATGTATATCGTAAACTGGTCTTTTCTCAGAAAAGTTATTACAGCTATCCACAACCCTTAGAGTTAACTTTTTTGTGTTATGTAGCTCAACTGAAAGTTTTGTTTTGCTAGGCATTGAAGCAAGAGGTTTCATCTTTGGTCCCCCTATTGCCTTGGCTATCGGAGCAAAGTTTGTGCCACTGAGAAAGCCAAGAAAGTTGCCTGGTACTTACTCCCAAAACTTTTTTTTTTTAAAATTTTATTTATAGCATCATTCATTTCGTTGAGATTGTGATGCCCCTTTTCCATTACATGTGTGCAACTTGCTGTACCTAAAATGGCATTAGCTGATGAATTTAATGGGCATTTAGCAATACACGGTCTTGATATGTGAGAAGAATAGTACAACATATGCAAATTTCTTACTTATGTGACAGGGCTGATATTCATTTAGAACTATTGTTTTCTCTGCCTCACCTTTATGGTGTTAATAAGGGTGAACCTGGAAACATTTCACTTCTACATGACATGGATTGATGTGGACTTGTATGTTCATGCATTAAGCTATTTGAAGAGGAAGTGTATCTGATTTTTGGGCACGACTGCAATCTTGTCTTTCAACATAAATTATTATTCTGTGTTTGTCTGGATGACTGCATGTATAGTTTTACTCATCAAGTTCTGGTAAAGTTTATGAATAGATGAATGCTCCACAGGAGCATGATTTTGTTTAATAATATACTGCTGTTTGGTGGCAATTGGTATCTGATTACTCACTCTCTTTCTAAATCTTTGGAATATGTGGTTTTCAGGATGTTGTATCATTTGCTTATTTCACTATGTCTCCGTCAATTAAATTATTGTGTATGACTAGCACTGATGCACCTTGTGTGTTGAGTATTCTGAAATGATAACTGTTATCTTTACAGGTGAAGTTATCTCAGAAGAGTACGTGTTGGAGTATGGAAGGGATTGTCTTGAGATGCATGTTGGAGCTGTTGAACCTGGTGAACGTGCTTTAGTCGTTGATGATCTGGTTGCTACTGGTGGCACTCTATGTGCAGCTATGAATTTGCTGGGTAGGAATAAATTTATCTCTCTTAATAATTTCTGATTTTATAGTATAATTGTGTGACATGAAGTGACAGGATAAAGTAAGAGCAAAAATAACATTATTCATCTTTTTTAGCTTTCTTACAATTGTTACAAACCAATTTGAACCTTGACCTATGGCTACCCATTTCAACTCATATTGGGATGGATGCTCACTATCTGATAATTATTGATGTATAAATTTGGGATTATTGAGAAATTCTGTTCCTTCCCCCTTTATCACCAGTCAGATTAGTCAGGATCTAAAGATTGTTTGCCAGGGTTTACATTATTTGTACTGTAGATTTTACCTTAGAATTGTCTTCTGAGAAAAAGAAAATTAATCAGAAAATCTACATCAGTAATGGCTGGAGATATCCTTGGACAGGTGGACCTACCAATCATTTAGGTGGTATTTGGGATGGAGATTATTTTATGCAACGAGATAGTCAGGTCTAATAGTATGGTTACTATGCTGCTACATACCAGGAAAGTGATTTAATCTTTGAAAATCAGGATGGAGATCAAGCTGTTAACATGAATGATCAGATGAAAAGCAACTAAATTGAGTAACTTTCTAGGGGTTTACCTAGATTGTTGTACGCTATATTGTGGAAAGTACTGCTACATCCTAAAAATAATTAACTACTCTGTATTAAAGGTAAATTTTTTAGGAAATGTGTGTGCAATTGTCATTTGCTGGCTAATCAGAGTTTAGATTGTTTGGCAAAGAATGGGAAGGGATTGAATATGAGAAACATAATATCTCACTTAATTTTTTTCAGTCTTATAGAAAGTGACACTCCTATGAGGACACTGTAAACTGATTAACAGAAAATAGTAGCATATTGGGAACATGTTTTATGTTGCTAACAGGTTCTTTTGCTATCTCATATGTTCTTATTTGTTCAAATTGTGATTGTCTATTGACCACACTTTTTCCGTTCTACAGAACGTGCTGGAGCAGAAGTGGTTGAGTGTGCATGTGTCATTGAACTACCAGATTTGAAGGTCAGAGTTCTATGCCATACGTTCTTTCTTTTCTAGTACGAAGTAATTCTGTAATGTTTGTTATGGTTAAAAGTAAAAGGGTAAATAGGGTTAATGACTTTAATCTTCCTTAATAACCCACTATATTGGTGAAATCCACGTACTTAACTTTATAGCTAGTCCATACAACTAAGTAGCAATCAAATCATGAAAGTTAAATTTGGCCATCAGAAGATATGATCTTCCACAGTGATAAGGCTGGAGAGAGGTGTCTTGTCCTCTGTTTTTAGAATGTGCAACTTATTCAGTTTGGATTTAGAATTTTGATTTCTTAAAATCAAAGATGGACCCTAACTGGACACACGCACATTACAAGCCAATTATGGATAAAAATATGATTGTTTTCTTATGAGACTGATAAATGTTCATGAAAAACCGATAGAGTAATGTGGCTCCACAGGTTCAAAGCCTTTGACTTGTAATACTTAATAACGGAAAGACCCATGTCGTGAATGTAGCATTTGCGAATAACAGTAAAGATGTGCAGTTTGAATGTAGTGATTTAATGCCTTTCTTTACTATTAGCAAGAATACCAACCAACTAGATGTGTAGGGCTATAGACTTGAGCAACTCCTTGAAGAGTACACATAATTTGCGAATTTTTTCAATCACTAATAATTCACAACAAAACAGACACTCTTAGACACAAGTCACAAAACACAATGTGGAATCCATTTAAATATTTCAACTTAGAAATGTTATATACTGTCGGCAATATAATGAAGAAAAATTCCCGATGCGTTATCTACTACTCATATCTTAAGCACATATTGCCTTCAATTTTAAATGAGAAGTAAAATTCTTTTAATAGAAAATATCCAAAATAAAGCAAATAACTTGACATACTTAAACCATGAATACAGCACACACACACACTTATGCCTATAATGAATACGTAGTATATGCCTGGTTGTTTGATAACAAAGAAGTTTTAGCAAAAAGCATCCAAAACATAACTGGGTTTTAAACCTAAGAGGGATAAATTGTGAAACACACTTGTATTGAAATTATAATTTTACAAAAACTCAGGCACCCATTTTGATTTTTTTATTTTTTTTTTTTAAAAAAAAATTATTTTTTTTAAAGTCGATTTGTTTTAACTAGTTTTCAGTTTTTATGATTTTAGTGTGGGGAATTTCAGATGTCTGTAATTGTTAGCATAACAATTTAGCAAGCAACAGAATTGAAATTCTTTGCTTCTTGTTCTTTTTTCCTGGTAATATTTTAATAGAGGATGATACCAAAGGAATTTATAGTCTTTATTGTTCGTCAATGGTTGGTTGGTATGATGCATATCCAATCATTTCAGCTCAAACCTACAAATTACGTAATGGATTGTTGATCAAAGACGATGAATCTGATTAATGCTTGACAATTGCTTATTTAATGACATTGTATCCCAGTACCTACATTCTGTTTTAAAAAAACAATCCCAACCTTCATCTGCACTAAGTCACTAACAAGATCTTTTGGTTTTTGAACTGGACTGCATGAGTTTTAAAAAGAGTTATTATCTGCACAGTGGAATATAATCAATGCTCTTTCTGTTTCAAAAAGTTTTCCCAGTGAAGTGAATGTGTGACTTATTTGCAAGACAATAGTCCATAACTATAATCATTTAACGTTTTAGCTTATTGGTTCTTTACCCACTTCCTCAGAATTGCATGATAAAGGGTAATTAAACTAATTATGAATTTTATGCTTCCTTGAATTTCACCTTGAGACCAAAAGTACTGGGGATTCGAGTCCAATCTGTTCTTTACTTTTGCTATCAGAAATCAATTATTTTGACTTGGACATTGATAAAAGATGGAATTTCCTCGGGTCCACGAAGGCTTAATAATTGAGTTAGTGTCCTTGCAGTATGATTAAGTCTATTCTCCATGGGGCCTGGTCAATCATCTAGATTTGAGGGATGTGGACATATTTAAAAGTTGTCAAGATGTTTTTATATATATATATATATATATATATATATATATATATATATATATATATATATATATATATATATGTCTAGCTCCTGTACATTGGGATCATTGGGTGAGACAACAAAATTTCTAAAGTATATGATTTTCTGCCTCAGAACTTGCCATCTTTATCTTATGAATTTTTTATGGTTTACGTCTATGATATGGGGTATACAGACTACTGATCACTTAACAAGTTGTCTGTCCAGAGGAACACTCACTGAGGTGGCTGATAATGAACTACGAATTATGTTTTATCACTCATGTATGCTGATCTTAGGTTGTGTGCCATATAGTAGTACTCGATAAAAAAAAATTGACAAGGTGAGTGCCTTTAGGTTGACTGCTTACAAACCAAGTTGCTGAAGTTCAAATTATGTGGTATACTTGGCAATTTAATTTTAGTGCTTTGACACTTTAGCATACCCTTTCTGGTGCACCTTCTTTGCGCAAATGCATGCATTATTCATCTTGCTACTGATGCATGGGGTGATCTGTAAAGACTATGGATTGATTCAGCAGTTTGTGATCACCATTCTTTAGTTAAATTGGTCACTTTTAGTTCATGTACCCGACCCCACTTATGGGATTAAGGCGTTGATTGATTGATTCAGGAAAGTTATAGGTTTTGCATTGTATATAGATGTATTTCATTCAAATTTGCAATTGTATTGTCAACCCAGAACCTGCTCTATATGCATTCAGGTGGTCAGGTTTAAAGTATTTTGTGTGATTGCACTTTTCATGTATGATTGTTGTGTCTTACAATAATTTGATGAATTTTTCAGGGCCGTGAACGCTTGAAGGGCAAACCTCTATACATACTGGTGGAAGCACATTAGTACAGCAACTGCTCTCCCATCTCAAGATAAAAAGTGAACATTCAAGTACATGATTGGTTTGGCAGCTTCACTGAATCAGATAACTCTGCTGTCATATATATATTTTTTTTTCTCATCTGACCGTCTCCTAGTGCCTTATGAATCTGGATATGGGGTGAAAACATTTTCTTACCCATAACGCAATCATCAAATCCATATAAAGAGATGGCTTCAGCTTGAGAAAACTCTTCGCGCTTCACCCTGATTAAGCAGGGAGAGTTGTCCTCCTTAGAATTTTGTGCATTATGGTCAGGTTGTAGGTGCCATTTGACATTTGGCTAGAAAAAAAAAAGCTCAAAACCGAGTTTTGACAAGAATATTTTTAATTGTTATACTTCTATCAGATTTTATACCCAAATTGGGTAATACTATCATCTAAGTCTGATTACAGGAGTTGGTGTTAAACTCTGCTAATAGTCAAAGTCTAACCGCCCCATTATCTCCCTTGATAACAAATATGTGTTTTTTTTCCCTTGCAAAGTATAGGGATTTTAATTATTCAAACATGTATGAAAATGAGGTTAGAATTAGGTAATTGATAAGGACCATAAAACTATCCCATGTGGTTTTTCATTCACTCGTAAGCTAATTTGGTTGAGAGTTGAGAAACAGGACAACTTGAACAAACACCTCAAGGGAAGTAAATTTCGAAAGTCTCTTATGGACCATTTTGGTATGCTTAGTATATAGATTTAGATGTGACTCCTTTGTGTGAGAGGGGCTTTCGAAATTATGAGCTACAACGATATTCAAGGTTGGGGCCTAGAACTATTTGAACTACCAAGTTCAAATAATGGGTGGTTCAAGGTCTAGTTAGTCCTTGTCACTTTCCGAATTACTTATACTTGTTCAATCATGTACTTTGCAAATAATGAAAGTATTTATTGAAGTATAGGTTTTCAAGTGGCCATTACACCAGCTTGAAAAGCATTACGAGTAACATTTAACAGGCCACCAATCCACCAGAATCGGTTTGGCAACTAGTACTAGTAAGTATGTAGTAGCTTTTAGTGCCCATCATTAATGGTTTCATCTATTTTTTCAAGCTCGAGAAAATGGCGTATAGTGTCATATTGATGCTCGTATAACCAACCACGAGCGTTACAGCACACACATTTTTGGGTTGAACATCACAATCATGTGAGTATTTTCTACACATAAACTCATAAAGTGTGTATGTATATGCTTTCAAAGCAAGTATTCAACTCATAAAAACAATTTAGGGCTTGTTCACATTTACTGAACTGAAATGATTGGAGTTGAACTGAACTGGACTGATTGAAGCTGAGCTGAAATGAATATTTTATGAGAGAGGGAAATTAAAAGTTGAACTGAACTGAACTGATTGGAGCTGAACTAAACTGAATTGAAATTAAGTAAATGTGAACAGGCCATTAATTGGAAAAATTAAATCATTTGAATGACCATTATTTCATCACGATTAACAATAAAGATCGGTTTATCAAATAATATCAGTCTCAACCAATAAAAATCAGCCAATTGAAGAGAACGAGGTGGTTGAGCTAGATACTTTGATAAATGCATTGACTGTGAAAGACCATGTGTACCATGGAATGATTATAAGAGATTATCTTAGCATCAGCAACTCATGGTGAAGCATTATTATTTATTATTAACGTTAATATAATTAGGTAACGTTAATATAATTAGGTAGCTAGTTTATGCGCTTATATGTCTTTCTTTGAGTAATTGTATTTATTTATCTACGACTACAATATTACTTGGATAAAAATATACAAAGTACAAACTGATATTACACTTTTAACTAATTAAGCTATTAATTTAACCACCAGTTGAATGAATATCTTATAGTAGTATGATTTATAATGTAATTTACTCGTAGTAAAGTTTCCAAGTCAGTTTCAAATAAAGATCAAATATATATAGACAATAATGTCATCTGAGGGAGACAAGTAATCATTCTAAGCATCAAGTTGGATTAAAAAAATGGAGCAACATGGTTCATACACCGTGTATTAAATTAAATTTAATTAAGAATAAAGAAATATATAAATAAACTATATAGTACGGAGTAGTAGATATTCCCAATAATATGTTATGGTATGGTATATATTTGTGAAAATGTAAGGGGTAACCAAATTAAAATGATTCATGCACTATCAGAAAGACAGGAAATCGTCAAAAGATCTGGAAACTCTTGAATTCATTATGATTCATTTATTATCAAAAGCAGTTACCATACATATGCTTAATGCATGCAGATCCATTTACAATAACGAACCATTCTAGGGTCTACCTGCCCTTGTTTATATTTTATATACTCACTCACTCCATTTCATGTTCCTGCATGTCCTTTCAGGTTCTTCTTAGCTAACGCTCAACTTCAACCCATATCATCATTTATATCATATTTTGCTTCATTGCACCTATATATTATGGTGTATGTGTGTATTTGGTTTCTCTTATATATGCTCACACATTTGATGATAAAATAAGATTATTCGGTTTATAGAGTGCATCTAATCACTCTGATTACGTCAAGTTTAAGGGGAAAAGGGGGACATGATGAACGAGAAAATACAAGTTTATCAACTTTTTTTTTTTTTTTTTTGAAACAATCACCTAAATAATTTTGGTTATCAAATGGTAAAACCGTAAATAAAAAATCAATAAATTTTTATTACATATGGGGCTCATAGTTGTTGATATAATTATTAAAATCCAACGTGGACTAAACATATTTGTTGATTTATATATTTACGGCTTTGCCACTTAATAAATGAATTTTGTTTATCAATATCAAGGTGATAAAGTGGGGTTTACTCGGTATCAACCTATAAGAATATCCTTGTTCTAGATATGGTAGAGGTAGACTAAGATTACTATTCAGCATATCAAAAATTAACAATAATAATACGAAGCATATATTTAATAATTTAACTAAAATAAAATAGAGCAGCAATTTTTGCACATTTATTTAATTTTGTTTGACATTTAGAAAACACGACAAAATTCCAAAATAGAAATCCAATACAAAACAAATAGATTTGCCCTGGACATTACGTAGTCCGTATTATTTATGAGTTCACACTGTACATGTAAGAAGAGCATCGTGCTAAATTTATTATTGCTGTCTCATTGCAATGCAAGTCTGATTTGGCAGGTATATATATTCAATTAGTTAGTAATTGTATTTTATTTTTTTATTAATGGATTTTATCATTGTATTACTAGTAACGCTAATGATGAATATAGTTAGAGTAGATCGTATTTTCTATAATTATCATGCAAAAAAGGAGGAGGAAATCACTACTAAACACACAAAAGTATAAAGGTGATGAATTGAGATGATGAACATTAGATCTCCGGAAATCACTACAACTACAAGACATATTCAATGATATTATTATCATCACCACATTCAACGGAGTGAATCATCTATTGTCATTGACTCTTTATATCAATGATTTTTATGGAATCAAACAAATTAAATACTCAACATGTGTGTTTTGTCTTCAAAGGCTCTGAGCACTGTTGGAAGTTGATAATTCGATTCTCCATATGTATAAGTAATACGAGTACAATTAATACGGAGTTAGTTTTTAGCTCTAATTAGATCCAATTAGATGTACATTAAACATGAAAACATGTTAGATATAATCGGGTCTAATAAGTTAAGGGGAAGAAACCACATCCATATTACATTTGAATATTTGATTAGTTGCTAGTCAATGTTCTAACTCGATCTCTACATTAATGCCCTTAAATTCAGTACATGAGAATAGTTTCATTCATTAATTTAGTACTCCATACTAACATATACGAGGTATAAGGAATGAATTTATGTGGTTTATACGTATATATTGTTATTTAGAATATTTTACTTTTTTTTTTTTGGTATCGCAAGCAAGTCACTTACTACGGTATACACTCTTGCATAAACCGATAGGTTTTCTCAATTTTATTACTTGTGCTATAAATTAAACTCTTTTGATTCTTATACTTCGTATAACACATCAAAAGTTATCATTTAAAAAAGTAACAAGTCACTCATAAAAGACAACTATCAATCTTAATTAAACTCCAAGAAAGATTTTGCATTACATCTACATTATTATATACAAGCATTATCATAATAAGAATAAAATTTTCAAATTGAGACAAGAATCTACAAAGTATTAAGATGGTAATTTAATATAGCAAATTAAAAAATTAAACCAATCTGCATTTAAACCATTGTGTAACGTCACATAGTATTAACCGACAAAATCCTGTGAGAATTCGATATGAATATTAATGCAAACATCTTTAATTCATTGATCATTCTTAAATTGGTTTAATTGCCAAGCTTTTGCATGCATATAGCTTTCAAAAGCATTGAATTCAAAAAAGAAAGCCCAGAAATATTCCACATATACTATACTTACTCCTCAATATAACTCAATTCGCTTTTGCATATTACACATGAAGCTTCTACATAAATACTGTAATTCGATTCACCTTTGCAAATTATATACATGATTTCCTTGTAACTCAAGCAAGCAAGAAATTAAATTTTACAGTTTTCTCAATCAAATAATGCCAATATCAATATGATAAATAATTCTGACGAACGTGATTAGCGCTAACAAATATCTTAATCATCAATTTCACAAATTCTTAGTTGCTAAAGTAACGAAGAAAATCCCATAATCTGCACATTCAATCAAAGAGAAAATTAGTAGAAAACATCTATCAACACAATGTTTACACAAAATTAAGTCCCATAAACCCAATACCAAATTACCGCCCAATATACTAAGAGGTTATTAAGATGAAAACCCCCCAAAAAAATGGACTAAAAAAGAGTAAAAATTGTGTTGATCAATTCTTTTTTTTTTTTTTTTTTTTTTTTCTCAAAAAAAAAGTCTTTACAATTTGTAGATGACAAGAAAACAGGGCAAAACCGCACGAGAATCAAACACCAACAACTCGCCATTCTCCTCCACACTCACCGAGTCATAATCACCCAACTCGCCCGACCCATTCACTGAGTCCAACCCATGCCCGACTCGTTTCGCAACCCGACCCGCAATCACCCTACAGACCACCATAGCCCGCCTCCCACGGCCCCCACCCGCACTCTCATGGGCCGCTCCACTACCCGAATAAGTACATATTGACGCCGCTTTACCACCGTTGATCTTCTCACAAACACCATCACAGCCGTCCATCACGCTCCCCCCTGAATTTGTGGGACCCAAGCAATGAAACCGCATCATCTCATTACCATCCGCACGACACCTCCCGGGCCCACACCCTGGCCCGGCCCGGGATTTTATCAAGTCGCGGTACTCCTCGAATCGGACCGATGTCCGGGCCAAGTTCTGGATCTTAAAGATCATCTCGACCC